ATCCATCCATCCATCCATCCATCCATCCATCCATCCATCCATCCATCCATCCATCTCTGGCAGCAGTCTGGTAGGAAAAGGTCTGTTCCTCCCCTCAATCCACCCAGGAGCTTCCACTGCTGCTGCCAAGTGCACTGAGCAGAGCCCACCACCATCCCCATGGCCCACAGGGCCACCTGCACAGTGCAGACCACCCCACGAGCAGCTCCTGGCCAAGCAGTGGTCTGCAATATGCAGGGAACTTCCAAACCACCTCAACCTTTTCACCAGCACCTGACCCTTCCTCCCCAAAGCTGCACGTTCTGCTTGGACTTCAGAGGTGCAAGAGCTGCTGCTGCGGGATTTGTATGGGGGATCATGTCCCTGGGAAACCCAAACAACACACACTGGGCACAGGTTCCCATGCCAGAGCTCCCTGAGTCCATGGTGGTTTATTAAAAACTTTTAAAAGGAATTTTCCCACTGCCAGGGCCCAGGTTAACACTGAGAGCAAGAAGTGCAGCCCTGGAGCCAAAGGAGCTGCTCTTCCATCTCAATCCACCTGCCCCACACAAAATCCTGGGCAGAGTCTTTGCTTCCTTCATGAATAAATCATTTTAGAGAGCAGTATTTCCTTTTAATTTAAAATTAAACCATTCACTAAGCGGGGGGGGGCGGGGGGGAGGAGGGGGAAGAGCAGGAGAAGAGTCTGGAAAATCACAAGTATCTGACTTGTGCAGAGGTCAGGGAACCTCTGACTCAGTCACAAACCCAAATGTACCCACGCTGCACAGGATCACAGCACTGGGGCCTGTCCCCTCCCAGACCCACAAGTTTGGGAGCTGGGGAAGTTGGCAAATGCTGATGGGATCCAGACCAGCTTGAACAGCTCGACCTCTCACCTCCTCTTCTCCCAGCCAGGTTTTCCTTAACAAACCCAGATCTCTTATCCGAGGGGATAAAGGGCATTTCTGGGGTGGCGAAAGCGCAGGCATGGGAAAGAGCGTGCGCTGCCTCTCCACCCTCCGGCAGGCTGAGAGCTGAGAAACATTAGCTGTCATGAACCACAATCAAATCAGGTTTGAAATATTTAGCAGTGGCTTGGAAAATGTGGCGGTGCAGCTCTGACAGGCGAGATGTGCAGACACCCATTTTCCATTATAATGGAAATATCAAGCCTGTTCTGAATATGTATAACCTAGAAAAATGTATTGATTTTTCATTCGGCATTAAAAAAATGAAATACCCTGCAGCTGTCAAAAGCCTTTTGTTAAAAGCTCATCTTTCCTGGAATGAGGTTTACCAGAAACAAGTTTTAATTGTACACAGGGTCTCTCCTTTGGAACAAAAAGAATCTGTGATGCTCCCTTTTTCAGGATAAGTAGCCAAAAAAGCCTACAGAAAGACAGATGCCTGAGCCCTGGCTGCTGGCAGCACACCACGGCTGTCGGGGAGGTGAGGGCTGGCTGAGCCAGGCTCAGCACCACCCAGCCCACAGCTTTAAACCTGACCCCCAGCTATAAACCTGACCCACAGCTATAAACCTGACCCACAGCCCAACTGCTGTCACTGGTACAAACCTAAACCTGACCCACAGCCCAAGTGCTGTCACTGGTACAAACCTAAACCTGACCCACAGCCCAAGTGCTGTCAGCACATAAACCTGACCCACAGCCCAAGTGCTGTCACTGGTANGGCTGCACAACAAAGGGCTCCCGGCGCAGCGGCACTCCCAGCTGCGACCCGGAGGTGTCAGCATCGGCATGGGAG